AGTAATAAAGGAAGACAGGGGACATTCGCCTCATAAGAGGTTATTCTGAAAAAATGAACAAGTGAAGACTTTATTTGTTTTTGAGTATACTGTACAGTATTAATTCCTTGATTTGCCCTAAATCAGTTCCTGGTGGTCTGCCTCTGGGTATCTCTCTACTTTAAAAAGCCAGACTGCAAAGCAGGTTTCTAATACAAATTTGCATTCCCATTCTCCAGTTCTAAAAGTGTTTCTAATACAAATTTGCATTCCCATTCCCCAGTTCTAAAAGTTGGTCTAGAGCATTGGTTGGCAACTGCTGGGTTGGAGTCCCCATCAACCGCAGCCAACACAGCCCATCACGGAACTTACAGACTGCCCACAACTTACCTACTTTAAAGCAAGGGGCCTACCAATCTTGCATTATCTATGACTTGTGAACTACGCCTGATACAGTACTACACATCCCCAAGTTAAGAACCACTGGTCTAGAGCACTGGTTGGCAACTGCTGGGCTGGAGTCCCCATCAGCCCCAGCCAATCACGGAACTTACAGACTGCCCACAACTTGCCTACTTTAAAGCAAGTGGCCTACCAATCTTGCATTACCTGTGACTTGTGAACTACGCCTCATACTACACATCCCCTATCACAACCAATCAGTTATTGCTGATTAAGAACCACTGGTCTAGAGCACTGGTTGGCAACTGCTGGGCTGGAGTCCCCATCAGCCCCAGCCAATCACGGAACTTACAGACTGCCCACAACTTGCCTACTTTAAAGCAAGTGGCCTACCAATCTTGCATTACCTGTGACTTGTGAACTACGCCTCATACTACACATCCCCTATCACAACCAATCAGTTATTGCTGACAACAAGCATTGCCCATTTACTGTGGATACCGAACCATGTGCTGATTCATGCAATGAATTCTTTGCACTTTTCTGCTGTGAGCACCTTCTCTTCCACCCATCTTGTAACTGGAATTGAAGGCTGGCTGAACGGAACAAATGTAGCGTGATCAAAAACACTGCAAGACTCTACTATAGCTGCCAGCGCAGACTAACAGAGTGGCAATCAAGCAGAACGTATGACTCTTGCTCATCATGCAATATATCTAATACGGCCTTGGTTCTGCTGTGAGCACCTTCTCTTCCACCCATCTTGTAGCTGGAATTGAAGGCTGGCTGAACTGAACAAGATAAAATGTAGTGTGATCAAAAACACTGCAAGACTCTACTATAGCTGCCAGCGCAGACTAACAGAGTAGCAATCAAGCAGAACGTATGCTCATCATGCAATATATCTAATACGGCCTTGGTTGTCTAAACCAGTGATCCCCAACCTTGGGCCTCCAGATGTTCTTTGACTTCAACTCCCCGAAATCCTGGCCTGCAGCGGCATGCAATGAATTCTTTGCACTTTACTGCTGTGAGCACCTTCTCTTCCACCCATCTTGTAACTGGAATTGAAGGCTGGCTGAACGGAACAAATGTAGCGTGATCAAAAACACTGCAAGACTCTACTATAGCTGCCAGCGCAGACTAACAGAGTGGCAATCAAGCAGAACGTATGACTCTTGCTCATCATGCAATATATCTAATACGGCCTTGGTTGTCTAAACCTAGACTAGATTTTGCCAATTCCTCTTGCCAAAGCTTTTTGCCCCTTTTAACAGGGGTAAGACTGACGAAAACTCAACTCATGAAAAACCCAGCTTTTCCACTGGACGCTCCCAATGGAAGACTACATTGGCTGAATTTCTCTTTTCATTCCCTGACTTTTACTCCCTGTTGGTGCTGTTTTCTCACAATTGCCCTTTGTGCTGGAGGAGGTGCCTCACATTCCCTCAGAGATTATCAGAGGTCAAGAAGGAAGAGACTCTGACATGCCAAACTACCTTGGCAGAGGAAAAATAACCTGTATTCTTATTTTTTTTTCTATCCGCTGCCTACCAAATGCTTGGGCCTACTATTTCACGTTCCAATAGTAATGTAAAATTCACAACTACTACTGGATAAATATAAGCCTAAGAGCAGAAAAGTCTGGCAGCGAGTGGCTTCAGCTTCATGTAACATCCCCTATGCTAGCAGTGGCACATGAATTCTGAGTTAGGGCCAGCTCTACTATTAGAGAGTGCAAGGCTGTCATCTTGGGCAAGAAACACTGAGAGATAGCAGCACTGTGTTGGGAGACAAAGCTTACTCCATGAGTAGCGGAGGAGGTTTCCTCACTGCCCGTGTTGAAGGAAGATTCAACTTCCTGTTCAGAAAACTTTTGTCCACAAAATGGTAGAGTGTGCCATTTTGTTCTTCACCCCAGGCGGCAAAATATCTTGTTCACAGGACCACTTGGATTGGCGCATGGGCTTTTAAAAAACTGGGCCAGCTTTTGACTATTTCTGCAACCTTTAATTGCCACCCAAACATCTCCATTCTTGGGTGCAACAATGTATTGACTTTGGAATGATCTTGCTGGTAAGCCTTTTCTACTCATGCTCAGTTTATAACAAAGTCACTGTTTCTTGCTTTTGAAAGGCCTATTTTGACAATCAATATTTCAGCCCTTGCAGCCTGGATTTTTTCCAAATTAAAAAAAAGTGGGTGGGATCAACCATTCTTTTTCAATGCACACAATATTAGTCTTCAATTTGTATGAGCTATTTTATATATGGAAACATTTAGGGTTGCTTGTTTCTGCATGGGTCAGTTTTACTTTTTAAAAGAAATCATAACTCAAAAACTATTTGCCCAAACTTCCCCAAATTTGGCACATTTGTTCTTCACCCCAGGCGGCAAAATATCTTGTTCACAGGACCACTTGGATTGGCGCATGGGCTTTTAAAAAACTGGGCCAGCTTTTGACTATTTCTGCAACCTTTAATTGCCGCCCAAACATCTCCCTTCTTGGGTGCAACAATGTATTGACTTTGGAATGACCTTGCTGGTAAGCCTTTTCTACTCATGCTCAGTTTATAATAAAGTCACTATTTCTTGCTTTTGAAAGGCCTATTTTGAGGATCAATATTTCAGCCCCTGCAGCCTGGATTCTTTCCAAATTAAAAAAAAAGTGGGTGTGATCAACCACTCTCTTTCAAGGTACACAATGTTAGTCTTTTCAATTTGTATGAACTATTTTATACCTAGGAACATTTAGGGTTGCTTGTTTCTGGATGGGTCAGTTTTAGTTTTTAAAAGAAATCATAACTCAAAAACCATTTGCCCTAACTTCTCCAAATTTGGAACAGAGGGAGAGCAGTTGTCAGCTTCACCTGTGCCAAATTTGGTGCGGATTTGAAGCCCAGTTTTAAAGTTATCATTATTATTTTTGGTTTTGGCTCCACCCATTTTTAGAATTATCTTGTAGAATGCTGATTTTTCTCTACTGCACAATGACATCACTGCACTCTCATGCAATAATAATGATTTCAGCAAAGTGTTCTCACATAAGATTTCAACTTTTCAACAAACTGGAAAATTTGTTTGGATGGCAACTTTACTTTTTAAAAGAAATCATAACTCAAAAACTATTTGCCCAAACTTCCCCAAATTTGGCACAGAGGGAGAGCAGTTGTCTGCTTCACCTGTGTCAAATCTGGTGCTGATCTGAAGCCCAGTTTTAAAGTTATCATTATTATTTTTGGTTTTGGCTGCCCCCATTTTTAGAATTACTTTGTAGAATGTTGATTATTCTCTTCTGCACAATGACATCACTGCACTCTCATGCAATAATAATGATTTCAGCAAAGTGTTCTCACATAAGATTTCAACTTTTCAACAAACTGGAAAATTTGTTTGGATGGCAACTTCCAGGATTTCACATCTAGTATAACCACTGGGAGTTGTAGTCCAAAAAGGGGGATTCTGGGAGCAGTAGTCAAAATGCAGTTTCTCCAATCCCTAAGCTTCTCTCCCATGAATAAGGTGGTGAAGTTGTAACTGTCAAGCAGACTACCAGATGAAGTAGACAAGATCAGTGGTGGTCAAGAACACTGGACTGGATGGAAGAGGGGAGACCCACAGCTCACATCAAAGCAAGTGTGGCTCAGCCTCAGCATGGATGAGCCCATCTGGACACCCACAATCTTTGCATAAAGTAGAGACTGTCAACTCAAGAAGACATGCAATATAGTGTACAGGTTAGACTTGGGATTTCAGAGCAAGGTTCTAGCTCCCACTAAGCCACAAAATTCACTGAAGGACGGATCGTTCTCCCTCAAAATGACCTTCCTCACAGAGCAGTGGTGAGGGTAAGTAAGGGAAGAGGAAAGAAGTATAGGCTACTTAGAGCCCAGTGCAAGAAAAGCATGATATAAATGCTACATTTAGCCTTTCTAAGGCAGTGGAAGACAGGGGGGCCTGGTGTGCTCTGGTTTCCTCACGAAGAGTCAGACACGACTTAATGACTAATATCCAGTGTGGTGTAGTAGATAGAACCATGGACTAAGACTCTGGAGAAGAGGGTTCGAATCCCCAGGGGAATTCCACCCAGCAAGATCTGCAGCGCTCTTCCAGACATGTTTACTCAGAAGTAACTCCACCTAAGTGCAAAGCACCTTATTCCACCTTGCAAGTGCCTTCAGTCCTCCACGATGGTCTTTAGCATGCACACAACATTTCCAGGCACACCCCGTAGCAAAAGCCATCCCTAGGCAACGTTAGGCAGCCACAGGCTCCTTCAAGCCTCTCTTCTGGCGAAGGCGGGGGATTTGCACGCGGCGCGACGAAGAGCTCTGTTCAGTTCTGCGGCTTTCAGGAGCCGTCGCGCCCCCCTCCCCCGGGACTGTGCGAGCGCGCGCGTCTTTTGCACCAACTGCTGGTTCTCCGGCTTCTGGGCCAAGGCGAAGGAGGTCCCACAAATCCGAATGCCTGTCCTTTGCTCCCGAGAGCAGCCCCGCGGCTCCCACCCGTCCTGCCTCGCTTGGGCCAGTCGGGAGGTAGCAAGCCGTCCAACAGTTTTGTGTAGCACAAGCGCGTCCCCCCCTGCACAAAACCCCGAGGAGGAGAGGCGCGAGACTTACGCGGAGACGGTCTTCCCGCTGAGGATCTCCGCGGGCGGCATGGTGGACCTCCTGGCTAAGGCAGCTCCTGCACTCAGTGAAGCGCCGATGGTGCCCGGCGCAGGGTCAAAAACCTCCCCCCCCCGGCGCAATCCCGGCCGGATCCACCCCCTCCCGGCGCACGAGCCACCCACGTGGGGGGTTGCGTGGGTGGGCAAGCCCTGCAAAACTTCTGGGGCCACGCCTGGAGGACCCGCCCGCCCACAGGCTCGGAAGATGGCCTCGCCCCCCTCGAAGAGAAAGCGGTCTTCCGCAAAGCGCGCACGCCCCTCGGGATCCCGATCCGCCCCTCTGCGCGCGGTCCGGCTGCTTTCCCCGCCGCCTCTTCTCCAGGGCTCCGCCTCCTCCCTTCCTCCCTCCGAGGAGAGAGAGGAGGAGCTGCCCGATCAGGTGGTTGGAAGCCCAGCTGGAGGACGCCGAGGTCGGGAGGCGCAAAAGGGATCGCGGGATCCACCGGCCGGCTGTTCCGACTTAAGCCCCCCCCCCGCCTCCAGCGGATCCCGCGCTCTGCGCTACAGCTCCTGGACCCCGCCACCGGCCATGGCCCTTGAACTGCTGAGCGGAAGGGGGGGCTGTTAAGGGGATTCTGGGCACTGTAGTCCGAAAAACTTTTGCGGCAAACTGTGGCAGGATTGCTGGAATCGGGTCCCCCCACGCGCAGTTTTGCCCGTCGAGCCTGTGGATCGGGACGCAAATGCAAAAAGCCGGTCTTTAGTAGAGATTCGACCAAACGTTTTAAGATCGT